ATAAAATTAAAACTTTGAATAGGAAAGAAAAATCAATGCATCAAAACTCGTAATGCAAAACAATCTGCATTTTTGTAACTATTCACACACAATTAATAATTAAAATCTAGAATATAATTTATATTTGTTATGCTTGATCTGCATAATTTGGCTTGTCTGTATTATTTAAACTGTCTTACCATTTAAAACCATTACTTGCAAATTGCAATAGGGAAATAGTTTAGTTTTTGCTTTCGTTAAATATTAGGGTTCTGCTATCTCGTGACTCGTGAAGAGATAATGATGTCACAAACAGCCAAAACTTGCGGAAGAGTTGACGATAGAGTTTGTGAAGACATGATTAGTGAGTTACCCAAAGATTTATTTTTGAGGATATTTTCGTTTGTTCCAATAAAAGACGCAGTAGCCACCATGTTTCTGTCGAAACGATGGCTCTCTATATAGACGATGTTAGGTAAACTCGAGTACAAAGACAGCAACTTCGATGATGATAATGATGATGATAATGAAGAAGTTAGGGGAATGAGGATGATGATGGTGCTGGTGCTGATTGTGAGGATGACGATGATGGTGATGGTCATGAAGAAAACAAAAAGAGCGTTTGGTGGTTTCTTGACAAATCAATGCAACTGCACAAGGCACCTAGAATATACAGTGCCCTACTGATGCTGATGTATGGAATTAGGTCCACGGTGCACTACTGATGCTGATATCGTAAAGTGGGTTACAAACGCTGTTAATCACGGCATGGAGGATCTTCAAGCTTCGTTGGCCCGTAGATCCAGTCAGCTTGCCTAAGAGCCTTTACTTGTGCAAATCTCTCGTGGTCTTTAATCTTTCCCACAAGATTTTTGTGGATGTTCCTTCTCCGGATTCCTTCCAATCTCGGAAAAGTCTTCACCTTTGCTATAAAGACGATGACTCTATAGTTAGATTCTTATCTAGCTGTCCTAATCTTGAGTTTCTGTAAGTGAAACGAGTCAAGCATGACAATGTGACGATGTTTTGTGCGAAAGTGCCTTCTTTAATTTCTTTCGCGTATTTAAAATTTCGAGACGACAATGATGTAGGAGATAATAGCAACAGCTGCTTGGTGATAGATTCCCCAAGATTAAAGTGCTTTATCTTCATTGATCATTCAAAAGAGTATTGCTCGATCGAGAATATGCCTCCTCTGGTTTCAGCAACTATCAGTGATTATACATATCGTGATGACATGTTTCTAAGACCTATTTTCTCGGTCAAGACTCTTGAGTTCTTTTCTGTTGAAATACTCTCTCTCTCTCTCTCTCTCAAATAGTACTTACTCGACTTACATTGTTTGTTCGTTTCATTGCAGCTCGTGTGTTGTAGCACCATCACCTTCTCTCGACTTGTAAATTTAAGAATATGTCCAGATTAATCAAACTGGTTGGAACCGTTCATACTTTTGCTTGGAAACGCTGCAACACTAAAAAATATTTTAGTTGATTATGTATTCTAGCTTTAAAGTATTAACCCCCCCCCCCCCCCCCCCCCCCCCCCCCCCCCCCCCAAAAAAAAAAAAAAGAAAGATGACTAATTGGTGGTTGAGTGGAGTTTGGTGGTTGAGTGGAGTTGAGATCCACCTTCAGTGTCGAAGGTAACGAGAGATTGACTGAGGTGTTGAAAAACATTCCTAGGGTTTCATCAACATCTCTCAGTTTCCATTCAAATCCTACCAAAGAATGGAGATACATAGTTTAGGGGAAAAAAAAATCCAACTTAAAATGATAGAAAAGTTTGAATATCTTTGTTGGATGTACTTGTCTTCTCTACAACATATATTTTCTTTCCTTTTTTCAAATCTAACTAATTTCATGATCTGCAAGCTGTTTGGGTCGAACACACCCTGTTTAATGGCTAGTTAGGGTTCTAGAGAAGGTTGCATCAGAACCAAACCTTTCCCGTTCACTTTTTTTAGGATCATCAATATCATGAGCATGCCTTTACAAACAACACCAAGTAAGAGAACAGTAAATGCGATATTGCGTGTGAATAAATGGTTATACGGAGATTCAAAGCTTAAATAAAAAAGAAATAGAATTAAATTAGCTGATTTTTGTAATCATAATTTGTGTACAATAAACTTTTCTGTGGTTCTTGATTTTCAGAAGAAATTTGACATCTGAACATGATCCTAATTCTAATAAATTGCCTAATCCTAATCATAACCATCGTTACTGAAACAAAACAATATACCAGAACAAGAGATGAGACCATGTGGACATTGTGTCGATGCTTTGCCTGCAATAGATACATGGCAATATTTCAAAATTGTGTTATGCTAACGGCACTAATTTCGGAATCAATGGACCAATAACAGGATGATGATTTATTTAGTCTACGCTTTCTTACACAATCTGCGTTTTTATTATAACTTTTCATTTCAAATCCAAGATTTTGAATAAAGAAACATAATTGGGACTCACATAAACTAGCTAGACAAAAGAAGAGATAAGCTTTGACAAAATTACCCAAAATACACAAATTAAAGACACCAAATATGCTGTGGTAACAAAATGTACATACAACAGAGCCAATCTCTTTAACCCAGTTTCATCTGTATACTCTTGCTCTATTTTCATAAAATGAATCTTCTTCCTCCTCATATGCATTTCCCTAGGCAGCTTTGAACACCTTTTGACAGTCAACCTTTCTCAGCTTTGGAAGAGCCAGAGGATTCCGACAAATACTCTTAAGTTCATACAAATCAATCATTTCAAGAGATTCTAGCTTCCCAAAGGGAACATCATCGCTAATACTCATCCCGTTCTCAAAGTTTATTATTTCTTCCACGCTCGATGAACGCATCACAGCTAGATTCCTGAGATTTTGAGCAAACAAGAGTCAAGTCAAGTCCTTTGAGCCTTGCAAACGGTCTATATGAATAGTGGAGAGATGCTTAAAGCCTAGCTTCTCAAAGGCAACATCATCTCTTTCTTTGCTTTCCCAAACTATCTTTTATCTCTGAGTTGTGTACGAGTGCCGAATATCAAGGCACTGAAGACTATTCAGAGCTACCGCGTTTAACACTACAACAGCTTTTGACATACTCATAGACCTCGAATATTACTCGTTAACCGCTCCACTTTTTGGATACTTTCCAGAATCAGAGCATTCCCTATGCTTGCTGTTAAAATCTTTAAGTGCTCTAAGAGTTGTAGCTTTTCCATTAATGTTTCACCAATGCAGAGACGGGAACCAAATAGTTTAATACCAATCCTTAGCATCATGCATCGAGATACTTGCGTGTGAAGGTACTGTGCTCGGCGAATCATGTAAAGTTTGAGCCCTAAAGAGGCAATTGCTTGTAATACATAAAACATGGGACCTAATAAAATTTTCAATCATTGAGAAGTAAGAAACAAGAAATTAACGAAAAAATATAATTTTTAAAATAACACATTTGGCAATTTTATTACAAAACATGACCCATTTTAAAATGACCCATAAGAGGGGTCCACTAGTATTCTTTTAATGTCGTTAGTCTGTCAGTAATTTGCATTTTGTCTGCCAATAGTCTATATTCCATTGTAAGACCAATCAAATCTGTTAGTAGTCTGCATTCAGTTTGCCATTAGGCTACAAGTAAAAGTAGTTAAGGCTACAAGTAAAAGTAGTTAAAAAGGCTATCCGTTTAATATTATTTTTTCATTTAAGATATTTTAGAGCATTTCTTAAAAATGCCACAAGAAGAAAATCTATCAACATTGATTACAAGTGAATACATATCAAAACTTATTCATGGCTCAATCATGATGCTTTGTCTACGACATTAGTTTTTGTCATATTAATCGAATGCATCCCAGAAATCAGTATCTAAAGATACATTTACATGAGGGACCTTCAGTTCGATTACTCCACACTCACCTATCTCCCTTTTATTGCTGTTGAGCTTGAACTCAAAGACAAGTTCGTTGGAAGTCATCTCAACTTCAAAGTCAACTTCGAATGTGTACAGATGCTCCGTTAAATGTTGCCAAAAAGACTTGATGCTTGAGATATGCTTAGAAGTGAAATCTTTCTGTTTTTCAATGACGATATAAGACACCTGCATACTTTCTTTATAACCAGCAACATCGTCACCCTTATAAACTAGAAAGATGCAAGCCTTAAATCTCTTAGATGTAGGAAGAGTTCTCTGATTCAACTTCACTGTTAAAGAACCTCCCATGGCTCGGTAAGTGATGTTTGTAGGAACTTTTCCACCTGGTAAGATGGAATAGTGACGAGCTGGTGTCTGAGATCTCTCGCTTCTTTATCCAGTTTGAAGCAGTTGGTAAATTTGAGATGTTTGATATGTGGATTGTAGAAGGAGCAATCTTGTCTCTCAAGGGACTCACAGTTTTCTGCTTCTAGGACTAATAATGAATCTGGAAGCTGTGGGAGTGATACCAGTTTCTTGCATTCGCTGAGTTTTAGCCACTGTAGACGAGATATTTATGCAGCGATGGAGAAATCTCTCGTACATCTATATCACTCAACTGCAACACTGTGATGCACTCAATAACATGTGGGAACTCACTGAGGTTTTCACAGTATGACATTTGCAAGTCATCAAGAGGAGGCCATGACCTGAGGGACGAAGGCGCTTCTTCTACCGACGTTCTTCTGAGCTTGAGACGTTTAATGTTTGTGGAGATCCGAGGAAACGTTTTGAACAAGGAGCAATCTGTGAGATCAAGTTCATCAAAAGATTCCAAGTTGATGTTGTTTGGTAGAACTTCTAGCTTTTTGCATCTATGGAAATGCAATTCAAAAAATTTATGGAAGTTTCCAATACAGGAAGGGAGCTCCACGGGACATGAGAGATTACCAAGATTTAGAGTTTGGAGATTAGTGGCATTTCCAATATAGGAGGAGAGCTTCACCAGACTTGTGCATCCATAAAGAGACAATTTCTTGAGGCTAGTGACATTCCCAATAGACAAAGGGAGCTCCACCAAACTTGAGCAATGAGTAAAACCCAACTCTTTTTAATTAGTAGTATTTCCAATAGATGAAAGAAATTCCACCAGGCTTAAGCAATGGATAAGGCACAACTCCTTAAGATTGATGGCATTTCCTATAGATGATGGAAGTTTCACCAGATTTGAACAGTAACTAAGATTCAATTTTTGTAGATTAATAGCATTTCCAATAGAAGAAGGGAGCTTTAAGAAACTTGTGCATCCACTTTAAGAAACTTGTGCATCCACGGAGACTCAGTTTCTTTAGGTTGGTGGCATTCCCAATAGAAGAGGGTAACCCTACTAGACTTAAGCAGCTCTCGAGTTCTAATTCTTGGAAACTAGTTGCAGTAGAGAGATCAGGAAGCTCTTTCAGATTCTCTGAATTACTCAAACTCATCCACTTGAGATTTCGTATGGGCTGTACAAACAAATAAAGATTAACCAACATGTTTAATACCCCTAGTAGTGAACAACATTAAGAAACAATTCTCTCATATAATAACACACTTCCATGCCAACAAACTACAAATTTATATGAAAATATCAAAAACTATTCCTCCGATTCCTAAAAAAAAAGATGTTTTGAAGTTTTTACACATATTAAAAAAATATATTAAAAATGAATAATAAATATATTATTTTTTGTGCTTAACATTTCTCTTTGAATTTAAATCAATAGTAATTCAATAAATTTAAATATTTTTCTTAAAATTTACAATATATCATAATTAACTCAGAAAATAATATAGAGAGAACTTAAAACATCTATTTATTTTAAAGGAAAAAAAAATCCTAGAAAATACCTTTTTAAAGTATAGATGCAATATTTTATTGAGCTAGATAATTGTACCCGAAAAAACAATTTAGAGATTCGAAATAGTTTTACTTACTTGATTTCCTTCTCATAACATCTAAAGCTTGGATTTAACTTAGAAGGCAAACATGTCATTGGAAAAAAAGTCCAATTTAGTGATCGAAGTTTTTGAGGCATATAGGTCAGACCTTGAGGTAAGCACAGTCTGTCTCGATTACCAAAATCTCTGAATCTGATATAATGGAGATTAGACATTCGTTCAAAACCTTTCTCACTTATAATTAACTAGTGTGTGCCTGGTTCTATGCACCGGAAAAGTATTTAGTGCTATAATTTTTTTTTGATGATATTATTTGAACTGAATTTATATATTTTCTATGAAAATTCAGTTGATGATAAAAAAATATTAAAAAGCATATTGTAGATTGTGTAAGGAGAAATAAAGCATATTATAAAAATATTCAAAAAATATTATAAAAATTTAATTATTAGTAATATATCTTTTATATTTGTGATTATATATTATTACAAACATTATAAAAATAAAAAGTTTAAAAATACATTGGTTTCATAAAGAAGTTTGTAAAATATTAAAACAATATATATATACAAACATACCAATGTTTGAAATAAGCTAATCAATACTTAAATATTATAATTAACTATGTATATCAGAAAAATTATACCCGCACATATGTGCGGGCCAATCACCTAGTACATATATATACTCACGTAAACAATTAGAAAAACAGCAAGTAATTAAGTTTCATATGTTAGAATGTGGGGAAGTTAAATTGGAGATAGTGGGTAGTTAATTTAGAAAGAAGTTTAAGTTTTTCTTTTTTTTTTAATTTTATTTTAATAAATAAAACAATGTTATTTTTATATAGAAAAGTAAAAAAGAAAATTAATTTAAAAATAAAATAGACACGTGTCAGACAGACAATTGCCAACTGACTTGTGCTTTATAAGTATAAAGATACGTCCTTATTCTGAAATAAGTTGAGATCTATTCCTATAACACTTCTACCACTGTGAAAATATATTTAAGAAGGTTAGTTATCAAATAATTAAACTCAGTTTGTATGGAGAGTGATGCAAATGAAAGACTAAAACTTACTGGATTATCGTAGGCGAGTACTTCAAAAATATCTCTAGCATCAACCAAAAATTGGCCTTGCCAAGGCTCTTGAAAAAATTCTTTACGAACAATTTATCTACCAAGTTGTACTAGTAAATCATACATCTCTACATATCCCAAGATGATATATATATATATATAAGAGACTTCTCATCTAAGATGTGAAACCTTTGTGCCACATCCCAGAACGTCTCCCCAATATCTTCCAATGTCTCTATATTTTCACGGTTGAAAAAACATACTATATAGAGAAACAAATCTTTATCTTCATCACATAATGCATCATAGCTGAACTTCAAAATGCTCTCAATATTTCCATAAAGGCGAGTCCTTAATCTTGGTAATGCCTTTTTCCACTCATGCTTGGACATTTCTTGAAAATAGGAGCCCGTGACCCTTAATCCCAAAGGGAGCTCACAGACAAGTCTCGTAACTTCCCTCCTAAGCTTGTCAAACCGTCTTGTGGGGATTGTTGACTAAAAGCATACATGCAGAAGATTTGTAGAGCTTCATCGGTTTCTGAAAGGTCCCCCATGTAAACATGGTCGATCCTATGTGCCTTCAAAAGTTTCAGATCTTGTGTTGTGATGAGAATCTGGCTTCTAGGACCAAACCACCGAGTTTCTTTTGCCAAGGCATCTAGTTGTACTAACTGATCCACATCATCAAGAATGACAGGCACTTTCTTGTTATTCAAACGTTCTTGTGCAACACGTAAGTGAGGAATCCCTATATCTTCATGGTTGATTACTTTTGCAATAAACTGTTGTCGTAGTTTCAACTTCGCACTGTAGTTATCTGAACAAGCTGGTCTTGTATAAATTACTTTGATATTCTCCATAAAGACGCTTAGCTGAAAACTGGTGGGGAGTTTGTTATACAGAAATCTGCCTATGGTGGTTTTACCAATCCCCGGAGGACCCCAAATCCATATCATCCTCACTTCATCTGAGTCTAAGCACAGCAACATTTCCGTATTTTCAAAATGACATCCCATAAAAACTAAGCCGTCAAAATCCTTTAATAATGTTGAATTATTCAACTTGTTCGAAATATTAATTTAGATTTTTTCGATCATGGCCGCTTTATTATTCATGGTAAGACTTAATCAACAATGTCCCCAGTGTTATTAAGCCCGAAGTTGGTGAAAATAGAAGATACAGAACGCAATGAGCAGAGTTTGAAAGTGGTACCTTGTGTTGGATGGGATGACGAGCGTCACCCATTACTGGTGACGATAGAATTTGTCAATTAAATACTATATAGTCATTTTAGGAATTAATATACATACATTTTTTTGCTGGATATTATTTAAAAGGCAATTTTCAAAAATACCATTAAAAAAGTTTTTACTTCAAAAATATCTTCACTAGTATTTGTTTTCAAAATTACCATAATTGTTTATTTTTTTTCTAAAACTAAATTCAATAGTAAAAAAAAGAACTAACCAGTTGTTTAAATGCTCTCCAGCGATTGTGGCAACTTCTGCCAAAGCCTCTCTCCATCTCCTAATGCCGTTTTTTGTTTTACCCACATGAGTTTTTCTGAAGACTTTCCCAAAATCTCCGGTTTGCTTAGTTAGATTTACTTGGTAGAAAATGGCCATCACTATTTGATCCAATTCTTTTCTGCACCTCATGATCTCAGCCAATTCATCCAAGCACTAGGACGAAGAAGCGTAGTCTTTGGAGAGCAAGACAATCGCAATCTTGGATACTTTGATTGCTTCTTTGAGTTCTTGATCGATCGACTTGCTCCTCTAGATATTATTATCAATGATTATGTCGATCCCCTTTCTTCTGAACTCTTTCAAAATGTGACTGAGAATGGCTTTGCGCACATCTGCCTCGTGGTAACATGGGAAGACATCTTGCTTCCGGCTGCAAGAAAATGAAGGTTCCAGAGTAGGAGGAGAAGAAATTATTTTGTTTTCTTGGTCTCTGAATTTTCCATGAACCATATAGATCAATATTGTACCCAAAAGCATGAAGATTGTAGTAGCAACAGTTCCAAGGTAAAGATAAAATTCTATTATTGTGGAAGAGAGAAGATTTATGATCACAAAGCCTTTTTAAGAAATATAATGTAAAGATTAACCGTTGCATTGACTGAGAGAAATATGTGAACCACAACCGTTTTTGTCATGTAGGTTCCACCGTTATTTCAACATCAGTTTCTGAATTTTTCTTCTGGTTTGAATTTTTAATAACACTTGATTCCAAAGGTCTTCGGTTTTTATTTTTACTCCCTCTCCATATCACATACATCAGCTGAATTGTTTGTCAAGAACTAATGTAAATACTCTTAATATGTCATTAAATTCATGTTATGTTAGGTAAATGGCTCTAAATGGGTTGTGTAGTCATCTCGATTTTGATTTGAACAACTTTGTGAAACTGTGTCCTCGAGTCATTTGTTTCTTTTTGCTTTGAGAATGCTGTTTTGTTATATGTAAAAAAAGCCTCGCCTCTATATTGTTTATGTATCAGTTTTACTTCTTCTCTGAGTCTGATCATACAGGCAGAATCCGCAACTCAACTTAATAGCTACCGCTTTTAAAATGGACGAGATACATATTGAACTCACCAAACAAGTCATTAAATTTACACAGTTCCTAAATTAAAGTTGCCAACTTTGAGAAATGCAACTTGACAACAGAGTCAAGCAAAAGCAGCACATAAAACCAAACCAAATTAAGAACTGAAGGGATACATTCACACTGACACATATGAAATAGCTTTTATCTTCCAAGCTTTCTTAAGTTTGGAAACTCAGTGGCAACATTGGGCAGATTTGGGCAGTTCTCGATAACAAATTTTCTCCAGTTTGGAAGATCCAGAGGATTGGAGAAAAATTTCTTGAATTCATTTAAACCACCTAGGCTAAGGGATTCAAGGTTCCCGAAGGGAGCAACAATGAAGGGAGCAACAATATCGAGATGCACATTTCTAATACTAATTCCTTTCTCTCTATTGATTATTTCTAATATCCTTGGTGAATTCCTCACAGTTAGGTACCTGATATTTTGAGCGAAAAACAGCCAGGTCAAGTCCTTTGAACCTTTCAAACCGAATATTCCAACTGAGGAGAGATGCTTGACAACTTGAGAACTCGTACATTGAAGCTCTTCTCTTTCTTCTCTTTCACAAACTATCATTATCATTGAGACTCTGCAGTTCACAAAATCAAGGCACTGAAGACCACCCATAGCTGCCATGCTTAACCGTACAATCGTTTCTGATATATTTCGTAGACATAGACCTGGAATACTACTTGCCAACCACTCCATGTTTTGGATACTTTCCAGAATCAAAGCATCCGCTATGTTTGCTGTTAAAATCTTTAAATGCTCGAAGAGTTGAAGCCCTTTCATTAATGTTGCATTAATACAAAGATATAAACCATATAGTTTCAACACATAAAAGACTTGATAAGCTTATTACTATCTCTTCAATGCTTTCAAGTAGGCTCTGTTTGTTTCTTAATCTAGAATAGTGCATCTAGATTTAGTATCTAGATATATCATTTAGATATTATTCATTTCTAAAGCTATGTTTTACATTTAGATGAAACTTATTTGTTTGTTCATTCATAAAAAATTCTGAATGCAAAATATTTCAAATAACTAAAAGGTATATTTTTCAGTTCAATTATATTTTATTTATAGTCTAAATGTTTTTTTAGATTATATAAATTCACATTTTTTGTGAAAATAAAGTTTGATAAAAAAATTAACTTGACGGAAAGTATAATTTTAACAAACAAACTCAATTTTGCCACTTTAAGGAAAATGATATTTTATGATTTAAACGCAATTTTGCAGTTTTTATGGGAAATATGAATTTAGTTAGCTTTCTGTCATATTAAGGGGTATTTTTATTTTTGACATGCAAATGCTGCATCTAAATTCTACTACGTTTATTATCTAAAATATCGAGATGCTAATTTAATATTTTTGATTTTGCATATAAATGTAATATCGAGCTGTTAATTTAAATGTGTTCAAACAAACAATATTTGAGCATCTGTGTGACATCCTGGCCCAAGCCCATGAAGAGTTTTACAGACAAATGCTCATTAGCCCAAGGCCC